AATGGCAGAGTAGTTCTTGTTTTCCCCTGAGGTAATGCAGGGCTGGTAACTATCATCTTCTCAAGTTGCAAGTTCTTCAACCTTGTTTTTGGCCTCCGGGCCATCCAGCGCCGGAGAGGAGGCCAGAGAGGCCGGCTGGCTGCGCAGGGGCGTGAGCCCCCGGCCGCCGGGGCCCCCCCGGAGTGGGGGCTGGGCCGTTCTGGCGCGCGGCTGTGCAGGGGCGCGGCTGTGCAGGGGCGTGAGCCCGTGCTCTGCTTGTTTTGAGTGTGACCAACTCATCTTGGTTTGCCTAGGATTTCTCAATTTTAAGATTTAAAATTCTGGCCCATTTGCAAAGGAGTGCACTTCTAGGACTGCTTTGCAGGCTGGAACTACACAGAAAGTCTGAGTTTGATTCTTGGCTAAACTGAAAGGCTGGGCACAGCGGCCTGTGCTTGTAATTCCAGCAACTTGGAAGGATGAGGCAGGGGTATTGTGACACAGCCAGACCCTGTCTTTAAAAACAAAAACAAAATATTCAGCCACTGTGGCACAGCAACAGTAGGGGACCGTGCAATGCTGAAGACCACATGACCAACTGTGGGTTTGGATCTGTCGGCTGGCCTGAAAATACCCCATGTGGTTACCCAGGATCCTGAGGAGCTAGAGAGCTGGGGAAAGCAAGCATAACATGACAAACCCCTTGAAAGAATGCCTCTCTCTCTCTCTTTCTCTCTTTCATATAAGCACTCTCTATCATAAAAAAAAAAAAAGAAGAAAAAAGAAATATTTCCAAGTCCAGTATTCCAGAAACTTCCTTAGTTTAAGGCAAACTAGGACTATACTATACTATCCTATACTTAACTATCTATATAACTGGTCAAGAGCACAAATCTCTTTGTGCTTGTTTTTCCATATGCAAAAAGGGCTAGTAATAGTCCATGCCTTAGAAAGTTGCTGTAAGGATTAACTGGCATAAAGCACTTAGCAAAGGGTCTGACATAGTACGATTTGCTATTATCACCGACTCTCTGTGGTTCTCCTTTAATGTGTGAAGAGGTTGTTAATCAAATAAGCGCATTTGACATAAGGACCACAAGGTCCTCATAGCATCTTTGTTGAATAAAAGATTTTGTCGATAAGGTACAACAACTTTGTGAGGCCAGCTATTAGGTCCTTAGCATTTTTTGGTTGGTTACAAGTTCTCAGCTTTCAACCAGCTAAATCATATTGCTAGGAAGCTGAAGTTCAGGTAGAATGACAGATTTCAAAATATGAAGGGATTTCAAAAAGCTTGTGGAAAATGGAATTAAAGTACAAATTTATTTTGGTGCAAAAAAATTGCAATCCATGCATAGATTTCTTGTAATATGCATTTCTCATGAAATTTCTGAAGACCCCTTGCACATAAAGTAGATGTAGCAGATATGTCGGTTCCCTCTAAGCACCTACTTCTCCCCCTTTATTCCTGACAGAGCCCCAGATTTCTTCAAGTCACTATCCTTCACACAGCCACGTGTTTTAGGAAAAAAGCTCAACCTGGCCACTATGTGGTGGGGCAATGATTTGTCAAAACCTATTATGGCTTTCCCATTCCTGACCACATCAGGTTGGCTTATTGGTCTCTGAGATCTGAAAGTTGACAATTTCTTTGCTCCGGGAGGCTGCTCCTGGCGACTCTGCAGCCATCGCCATGCCACAAAATGAATGTATTGAATTATATCGTAAATGCTATGGATATCATTTGGATTACCATGAGAAAAAGAGAAAGAAGGAAAGTCTGGAGGCTCATGAACGTTCAAAAAAGGCAAAAAAAGATGATTGGTCTGAAGGCTAAGCTCTATCATAAACAGGGCCATGCTGAGAAATACAAATGAAAAAGACTATCAAGATGCATGAAAAGAGGACCACCAAACAGAAGAATACTGAAAAGACTTCACAAGGAGCAGTCCCTGCCTATCTGTTGGACAGAGGACAGTCCCGAGCTAAAGTACTTTCCAATATGATTAAACAAAAATGGAAAGAGAAAGCGGGCAAATGGGAAGTCCCTCTACCCAAAGTTCAAGCCCAGGGAGAAACAGAAGTCTTAAAAGTTATTTGAACAGGAAAGAGAAAGAAGAAGGCATGGAAGAGGATAGTTATTAAAGTCTGTTTTGTTGGAGATGGCTTTACTAGAAAGCCACCTAAATATGAAATATTCATTAGGCCAATGAGCTTACATTTCAAGAAGGCCCACATAACACATCCTGAACTGAAAGCCACCTTTTGCCTGCTAATACTTGGTGTAAAGAAGAACCCCTCATCCCCACTATAAACAACTTTGGCTGTTATCACCAAAGGTACTGTCATTGAGGTGAACGTGAGCAAGTTGGGCCTTGTGACACAAGGAGGCAAGGTTATCTGGGGGAAATATGCTCAAGTTACCAATAATTCTGAAAATGATGGATACATAAATGTTGTCTTACTGGTTTGATAGCAGTTACATACAAATAACTCCTTGTAATTTTTGAAGATGATACACCATCTGGAAAACCATCATAACTGATGTTTCTGAATATAGCCAGTTTCACATGTCTGCAGTCATCAAAAGATTACTTATTAAATTGTACAAAAACATTAAAGTGGCCTGGTTTAAAAAAAAAAAACAAAAAAAAACAACCCAAGAAACTATTATGAAAACTCCATCACCCTGGCCTGAACCTGGGTTAGGGTTGGCAGGGGACTCAGGCTGGAGAATTAGATGCAGGAGCCAGTCTACTCTTGGCTCTCTGGAAAGGTTTCTTCACTCTTAATAAAAAGACAGAAGAAAGTGCCCTTTCCCCTTGAAGGCATCTTCTGGGGTCACTGGCATCATCTTAAGACCCTAAGAAATAGTTATCTTAAAATGAAGCACACAACAAAGAGGTGGCTACTGGCAAGCTACAGAAAGGGTCTCAGGAGAAACAAAACTCACTGACAGTTACATCTTGGACTTCCTGCCTCCAGAACTGTGAGAACACAAAGATCTGTTGTGCAAGTCACCCAGTTCATGCTATTTCATTATGGTAGCCCTGGAAAACGAATACAAATTTTAAAATTTGTTTTGAACTCATTTGTAAATTTATACAATTAATTTCATAATAAAAAAAATTCTGCAATTTGCTTTTTCAATCAACATAGTATTTTTGAAACTTGCTCATACTGATATATCTATCTATCTATAAATATATATACATGCATGTCTAGGTAATTTTTCTTACTATTGTGTAGATTCCCATCTTACTAATATACCATAACTTAGTTTTCAATTTTTTGTTACTATTATATATGATGTGACCATAATATTCCTTGTGCAAGTAGTAAGGGTTCTCTAGATTATTGAATTATATCTATAACCAGAATTTTTGGATCATGGGGCTAGAATTTGCTTTCCCTTTTTAAATAATTATTAATTTTTACATGAGCAAACCTTACATGTATTTATCATGTGCTATATAATATTTTAAAATATATATTCATTGTGGAATGGTTAAATTAGCTACATCTTCCTAATCCTCCTTGTCCCAGCCCCTAGTTATTATTATATTCTCTGATTTTGTGAGCTTCATCTCTTTTAGATTTCACATGTAAGTAGAATCATGAGATATTTATTATTCTGTGCCTGGCTTATTTCATTTCACATAAAGTCTTCCAGGTTTATCTATGTTGTTACAATGACAGATTTGCCTTTTTTTTTTTTTAAGAATTATTTATTTATTTATCATTATTATTATTTCTTAGTTTGTTACAAGGCTCATGCTCTCACCAAAGAGAGAGAGAGAAAGAAAGAGAGAGAGAGAGATAGAGAGAGTCAGAGAGAAATCCTGCAGGTCTGGGACTTGAACTATGGTTGGCCATGTGGGAGTCCAGCACCTTAACCAACATGCCGCCAGCTGATCTCAGGTTTTCCTTCTTTTTGAAGGCTATAAATAGTATGTGGTTGTATATACATGCCATATATTCTTTAATCCATTCATCTGCTGATGGACACTTAGGTTGATTCTGTAGCTTGGCTACTGAGAATAATGCTGCAATGAATACAGAAACGTAGATATTTCTACATATTAGTTTCAATTACTTTGGGTATTGCTACTGTTTGAATGTCTCCTCCGTTCATGTGTTGAGACTGTGTTTTAATGGGATTAAGAGTGTGAAACGTATTCAAGCCATGGAGTCGAAAAGTAGAGTTCTGGGGCCAGCTAGTGGTGTGGTGGTCAAAGCAGCTGGATCCCACATCACTGACCTGTACAGTTTGAGTCCCAGAGCCAGCAGATTGAAAAACACTCTGGGCACACATGCATGCATGCCCAAAATCCCAAGAGGAAAGTGAAGGAGAAGGAACTGTAGCATGGTCATCTCCCATGGGGAGGCTTTCTCACTTTCTCTTTGTGTCCTTCCAGCAAGTGGACACACCCTAGTGCAAATTTTAAAATAATAATTTTTTTTTAAAAAAGAAAACTGGAACCTTTGGGAGATTAAGATAAAAGTCATGAGGACAGGTCCCCGTGACTGAAGTCTTGTGGGTTTACAAGGAAAAGGAATAGGAAAGAGATACATAAATAAAGATATGCTCACTTTTGCCCTCCACTACGTTACCTAAGAGAAAGAAGACCCTCACCCGATGTGAACCCTGGATCTTGGATTTCTAAACTGTGATTGGAATAAACCTCTTATTCTTATATATTGCCCAGTTTCAGGTATGTTCTGTTATTAGCAACAGAACAGACTATAATAGATATATACCCAGAAGTGACTCTACTGGATTTTACGGTAGCTTACTTCTAAATTTTCAAGAACTGCCATGTATTTTCTGTAATGGCTGCACTATAGTCATTTACATTTTCACAAACAGTGTACAAGGGTTCTCTTTTCTCCTCATCCTTGCCAATGCTTGCTATCTTTCATGCTACTGATAACAGCCATTCTAACAGGTATGAGATTGTATCTCATTGTGGTTAATACAGATTTGGGTACTGAGAAGCGGAGTGCCACTTTAACAAATACCTAAAAACATGGAAGTGATGTTGAAACTGTGTAAAGGAGAAGTTAGAAAAGTTTTGAGGTGCATATTAGAAAAAGCCTATACTGCAACAGCAGATGGCATAATGGTTACATTGTTGGATTCCCAGAGAGCCAACCACAGTCTGAGCCCCAGACTCAGTGGCTTTCCATTTACTCTGGGCACATGTGCATGCATGCACAAAATCCTGAGAGGAGAATGGATGAGAAGGGATTTCAGTGTGGCCACCCCAGCCATGGAGGGGTGATTTCTTGCTTTCAGTCTCTCTGTCTCTTTCTGTTTCTCCAGTGAGCTCCTGTGACCTATAGCAAAAATCACTCTTAAAAAAAAAGAAAGAAAAGAAAAGAAAAAGCCTACACCATTTTGAAGAGATTATTGATAGGAATATGGTCAATAAAGATGTTTCTGGTAAGGCTTGAAATGGAAATGAGGAACTTATTATTTGATGCTAGGCAACAGACCATTTTTGTTATAAAGTGTCAAAGAACTTTGCTGAACTGTGTTCTGGCATTTTGGAAGGTAGTCTGTAGGTGATTAATCTAAATGTTGAACTGAGGAGATTCCTAAGCAGAGTGCTGAAGGTATGACCTGTTTTCTTAATGCTAATGGAGGAGCATGAGAAAAATAGAAGAAGAAATTGTTAAGCAAAAAGGAATCAGAACTTGAAGACTCAGAAAAATTTCAGCCTATCCACATTGCAAAAAAATGAGAAGGTATGTTTTGAATTGACCACCAAAGTGTGGCCAATCACTACATAAAGAAATTATGGGTGTAACTCTTAGGTCTAATCAGCCTTCTAAACAGAATCCAGGGATAGAGATGGAATTATACCAGCAAGGCTATGGCAATTAAAGGTTTCTATAGGACAAAACTATTGAGTCATTTGATATAAACATCTCATCTTAAAAAAAAAAAAAAAGAAAAGAAAAGAAAGAAAGAAAAGAAAAAAGAAGAAAAAAGGTCCTGATGACAATTTAGAGATCAGCATGACTTCCACTGCCACCACAGGCCAAAAGAATATAGGTGAGGCTATCTCTTCCTAGGTTTCTGAGGGTAAAGCTACCTCAAGTATTTGAGTGTCAGGGGGCTGGGATGCTATTACTAATGCCTCAGGGGCAGGGATGCTTCCCAAGGCTGTGGAGGTGAGAAAGCATTATCTCCCCAGTGAGCCCAGAAAGCAGGGCCCCTGTCTATATAGGGCCAGAAAACTGGGCACTGAGCCAAAAAGGATTATTCTCAACTCCTTTCAAAAAAAAAAAAATTAATAAGATTTGCCCTGCTAGATTTTGAACTTACCTGAGACATGTGATCCCTTTCCTATTTATGACTTCCCCTTCTTGGAATGGAAATGTCTATCCTGTGTCTGTCCCATCATTGTATTTTGCCAACAGATAACATTACTGGTTTCACAGGTTCACAGTTGGAGAAGAGTTCTGACTGAGAAGGAATTGTACCTCAGATGTGTTAGATTACATTTGGGACTTAGGGGTCATACTGGAATGGGTGAAGACTTCAGATCTGTTGGGATGGCAGTGAATATGTTTTTCACATTAGGACATACATTTTGCAGGCTCAGAGGACAGATTGTTATGAGCTGAATTATGTCTCTCCCCAAATTCATATGTTGAAACCCTTATTCTCAGTACCTGAGAATGTGATTGCATTTGGAGAGGTGGCTTTAAAAGAGGTGATTAAGTTACAATGAAGTCATTAGTGTGGGTCCTAATACAATGTGACCCGCCATCTTCAAGACAAAGAGAAAGACTTCAGGAGAAATAAAACCTGCTAATACTTTGATCTTGCATTCTAGCCTCCAGAAGTATGAGAAAGAACTTTCTGTTATTTAAGTAACCCATGACACTTTGTTATGAAGTAGCTCTAGCAAAAAACTATGTAAGGAGAGGAGACTTCTAATCCAATATAATTGGCATCCCTGTAGGAAAAGAAAATGTGAAGGGAAAATGCTATGTGAGGATTGGAGTTATGTTGCCACAAGCCAAGGAACAGAGATTGCCTTCAAATCACCAATGATGGGACCAGCAGTTAGTGTAATGGCTATGTCACTGGACTCCCATGTAGTTGACCGTGGTTTGAGTCCCAGACCCGGTGGCTTAAACTCACGCCAGGTGCATGTACATGCGTGCCCAAGATCCTGAGAGGAGAACTGAGGAGAGGGGACTGTGGCGTGGCCATCCCCCAGGGGGTGATTTCTCGTTTTCTATTTCTCTGTCTCTCTCTGTCTTTCTGGTGAGCGCACGCACCCTATAGCAAAAACCTCCCGCTGCCAAAAAAAAAAAAAAAAAAATCACCAGGAAA